TCTACCCGAAAGAGCTCGATCTTTTTCCGGACCATTTTTGACCAAAATCTTCTAAATTTTCTGAGTTCTTTCTCTTTGTTTTTCTTCTTTTTTGTTGCCCTTCTCTAATTTCAACTTCCGTGTTCGTCATTCATATGGAAATTGAGATTACTAGTAGCATTGAAGTATGCAGTAGTTGAAAGAACACTCAGGTGGTTTTGTTGGTGACATTTACATTTTAATTCGAATAGACGTTTAACGAATGTTTGCATGTCCAGAATCTGATTGAATATTTAACTATTTCCTATCTCGAAAAATTCGTCAGAAATTTTAACCAAGTAGGGTACAGGTTGATAGCCAATTTTAGAACCATTTTTCGCAAATGAGAGGGATAAATTCATTCGTTTCCTAATGCCATATGCAGCGCCGCGCGTCTCGGGACATTTCAAGGACAACAAGGTAAAAACTCTCATCACTATAGGTACGTATTCGTGGCTAATGTGTTTAAACTCTGAGAGGAAATCCATTTATTCCATAGAGCCAGCCTTGTTGGCCACGTAACCGTTCATTTTGGACATATTTAGCCTTTCGAAAAGTTCATGATTCATAGGAAAGCGGTCGAGTAACCTTTACATCGAGCGGTCTTCACTTGAATGTCACAAGACCAAGCGATTTCACACCGCGCATCTCATCTAAAGGTCTGATTTAACGTTTGGAACTATGAGGCGCCAATACGACCCCACACCTTATTTTCTATGAATAGCTTCAAAAATAAACAATAAACAATAACATCGGATTGATATTTCTTTACTAAAGACTCATATCGATCTACTATTTGAATGTTGTGAGGAACACCAAATTTTTGCCCTTTGGAATCAAATTTGAGAGCTCATAGTGCTGTCGAAAATTTTTGTCGTTGTAGGTTATATTTCTGTGTATCTATTTATTTGTGGATATTTTTTAAAGCTTATTCTACATAGTAACGTATATGTTTCCTCGATAGGGAAATCTTATTCTCGTATGGCGAGCAGTGCCAGGTTTCTCAGCATTCTAGCGATTTTTTTTGATGTAGATGCTTTCCACAGGTTTTCTTCAGTATTCTACTGATAGAAAGGATAGGCTGTGTTGATCATTTTTGCGCCAGGCTGCCAGTTATTCCTACCTTGGCTGGAAATAGTACACCGCATTGGATGCTAGCGGATCAGTTACAATGAATTTACGGCAGTCACAATCACTCTGTCAGGCAGGGCCTTCTTCCTCAAATGGAACTGGGCAACTGCTAGCGATTTCGAACGAATAAAAGGCAGTAACCTTGGCCGGAGATTCGATCCATGTTTTGATCCTCGGCATGAGTGTGGGAAGGCAGCGCCTCCTGGTCACTCCAACGCATCTTCATAGCATTTCTGCATTAAAGTTTTGTAATGCGTGATCTGCTATTGCATGCCTAGGGTTTGCTAGCGCGCGTTCATTCGAATGAACTGCGAATTTCTCATCGTCTTCGACGTCTTTTCGCGATCCTTTAATCCTAACAAAGTCGGCTTATCGGAACTAACTGGACCAAAAAAACTTCAACCTTGTTCGATAAGTGCAGTAGGTCAGGTCGTTTACAACTAGGCCTATCAAGAATAACAAGCTTTTGATGTGCAGGATCGGGTCAATAGTAGTCTTTTACTTGAGTGAATTTAGCTCCCTACTTGTTTTCGACTACCTTCGATTTGAGCCCAAACTTTGGAGGTGTTGAGGATTCATCCAGATTGCGCATTAAATTCGTTAGTTTCATATCAGGTGGAACCGGCCTTGTGGGAGTATTATGGTGTGGGGGAGGGGGGGCGAGGGTGGGGAGGTAAGGGGTGAGAGTTGGCCTAAAGAGCTACTGCAGTCTTCCAGCTGTATTTCTATAGTGTGAGGCAATTTGGTGCCAATGCTGGTTGGACCGAGCGAGGGCGAGGATACTGTTGGGTGGTCTTCAGATATTGGATGGGCAAGAACTAGCTAATCCATTGACCGTTAACGACGCTTCTTTCC